GTTTTGTTATGTGACAGTATTCAAATGATTATGAGTGTTTTTTGGGGATGTTTCAAAGTAAAGTGTTTGAGTTAGTTTTTGTGACTTTTTTTTCTGATGTTTTGTTGTCCCCTAATACTTTAATCGAACTAAAAGGGTTATAAAAACGAGAAAATGCTAGTTGAGGGAGATAGGGATGAGTTGTATTAAATTTAATGAAAATGTGTAAGTTGTAAGTGCAGATAGATAAATTAGAGATGTCAAATCTTAATTGGGAGTCTCAATAGTGTTTTGGAAATGTTCAAAGGTGTCAAAGGATGTTGAGTGTGTTCAAAATGTGTTTTTGAAGGTGTTCAAGGGTGTTTTGAAGGTGGTTCAAGGGTGTTTTGAAGGTTGTTCAAAGGTGTTTGGGTTATTCAAAGGTGTTTTGAGGTTATTCAAAGTGTCTTGGTGTGTATCAAATGTTATGAGATGTGCTTTGAAGGTGTTTTGAAAGGTGTTCAAAAGGGTGTTAATGTGAGTATTCAAAGGTGTTTTTTGAAGTGTACAAATGATTATGGATGAGAGTACTTATGAAGGTGTTTTCAGAATGATGTGCAAGAGTATTATGAAGGTGTTCCTGGGAGTATTCAGAGGTTGATTGGGGGTGATTCGAATATTGTTTTTTGTTGAGTATTTCAGTGTTGTTTGTGAAATGTATTAAGGTATTTTTTGTGAGTATTCAATTGATTTAAGAGAGTGTTTTGAATGGTGTCAAAAAGTGAGTGTGTGTTGCGTATTAACTTCGTAATATGTAAAATTGTGACTAGTGAATTTATCGAAAAGTTGGTTATAAGTGTTTGTGGTGACTTTCTGATGTACTGTGTTCCCCTTAATTAACTTTAATGAACTAAAAGGGTTAAAAACGAGAGAAAAAATTGGGGGTTATGATGTGAAAATTGTGAGGTGGTTGGTTTGTGAGTGTGAGGGTTGGGAGGGTGGGGAGGAGGTTACTTCGTGGGGGAGGTGACCTGAATGAAATAGTTAAAAAAATGTCTCTTACTAGACTTGGTGTTGTAAAGAAATTGTGGGTATTACGAAAAAATGTGCCCCCTTATTAACTTGAATGAACTAAAAGGATCGACCAAGATTCAGCTGTGTTGCGCGTGACCGGGGGTCACTTGCTTGTCCCTTATTAATTAAAAGGGTATACAAGATCAACCTGTGTCCGGCGGTGGATCTTTTTAGTTCATTTAACTTATGAGAGGAATACTGACGTCACTGACCGCCGAGTAAACACGCTTTTTTAGTTCATTTAAATTAATGGAGGAGGAAAAACTTTTAGTTCATTTTTAAAATAATAGGGGAAGATGTTTAGACCTGTTTGTAGGCATGCCCCATAGGAGGAGTCCTATTTTGAATGATTTACCCAGAGGGGGGATTCCAAGAACTTTGTCCGAGGAATTTTTAAAACCCCATAGGGGGGAAATCCAAAAAAACTGATCCAAGGAGGATGGAAGTGAGATTTCGAAAACCCCATAGGGGGGATCCAAAAAACTTGTCCGAGGAGACGAATGGATGACTTTCGAAACCCCCATAGGGGGGGGGATCCATAAAAACTTGATCCAAGGATTGATGGAGACTTTGATATTGAGCAATTTTTTGGGGGCATGGGGGGTGAAAGGAGGGGTACCAAAAACTTTGATCCGAGGAATTGGAGAATTTCGAAAACCCCATAGGGGGGGAACCCAAAAACCCTTTGATCCAAGGAGATCAAAGAAAAAAATTCGAGGCCCCGGGGCGATCCGGATGACGCTGCAGAAGGCGCAGCAGAAGGCGCGGGCGGGGGGTCGCGAAGGGCGGGCGCGCGGGCGGGCGCGCGGGCGGGCGCGCGGGCGGGGGGCGGGGTGCGCGGCGCGAAGGGGGGGTCGCGAAGGGGGGGGTCGTGGGGGGGGGGTATTGGTTGGGGGGGTTCAAGGGTGAGGTAGTCTCGAGGGCGAGGTCATGGTCAAAACCGGAAAGTAACACCTAGGTGTGAAAAGGTGACCCTCCAGCTGCTGTCCTAGACCGGTACACCGCCCAGTGGAAGGCCTAAACCGGAAGGGATGCTCCAGCCGCCCCCCGTTTTCCGGAAGGGATGCCCCAGCCGCTTTTATCATACTTATATATATATATATTTTATATATATATATATATATATATATATATTATATAATATATTATAAATATATATATATATATTTATATATAATTTTATTATAATATTATATATATATTATATTATTATATTATATATATATATATATAATTGTTTATATATATATATATATATATATATATATATAAAATATATAATATAAAAATATTATAATAAAATATATATATATATATATATATATATATATATTATATATATAATTATATATATATTATAAATTTATATATATATATATATATTATATATATATATATATATATATAAAATATATTTTATATATATATATATATATAAAACAAAAACTACTTTTGTTGTATTTGTTAAGTTTTGTCTTGTGAGTGGCCTATATAATTTTGTTCTTCCTCTTCATTCCAATATCTAATTCTTCCCCTTTAGTTTTCTTCCGTTTTTTTTTTTTTATGGCAGACATTCAACTTCAATTTAAAGAAGGGGGATGGTAAGTTCTTGGATCAGGGGCCCTTTACCGGCATCAGGGTACACCCCTTGAACGGTCTTAGTAAAGTCATGGATCATGCAACCACCTCACGGCACTCGAATTTTTCCTGAATAATTTTACGAATATTTTTTTATAGAACATATCAGACTTGACGTTTTTCTGGTCTAACTAAAAGTATTTGACTCGCCTTGAGCGTAGCTACTGAAACACTGTGTCACTATCCAGTAACCAAAATATATCTCCCTTGACGCTGGAATCCGTATGGAAATAGATGTTATAAAAACGATCTAAGTGAATGAACAAGCTTTTTACAACAATGATCCGTTCTTTTTCCATTTGCCTAGCCAGGCCCCACCATCATACTCAACTAATAAATTATTTACAAGTATAATATTCCTTGGTAATATCAAATCTCAACTACCCAGCACACAATATGTAAAAATAATCATATGGAGATAACATTATACGAGATGTGCAATTTTGGAGAGAATTTGACTACGCTGGAGGCTTGAATATTGTTATATCGCGTGCATACTGTGTGTCCGTTTTCAGAATCCTTCGTTGCACTTTTGAATCCAGGCTTTAAATCTCCCCAGTGTCAGTAACCATATTATTGAAACGACAGCAATAGTGGCAACAACTGTGCAGCGTGCAATGCAAAATTTCAATTTCCACAATGAAAAGGAAATGTAAGAGTGCTGTGGTTGTGTTGTGGTCGAGGTTATACAAGTATAGTGAATGATTCCTTCTTGTGAAGTTATTGAAGAAAATCTGGTTTGGCGGCCCCAGCAAGGACATAACCCGAGGAAGGCACTGTGCTCGATTTCATGTGAGGAGGGGGGGAGGGGGAAAAATAAAGGTAAAAGTGGCTATACCATCTGCTTTAGTTCAGATACACACTTGCTGCCACTCAAGGCTAGGCTTAACTCTATCCTTTTTATTTTTTTTTTTTTAAACAGTTGAATATATAGACTAGGAGTTGTTTACGTACTTCAGCTTATTGCTTACGACCACCTTTAGGTTCCAACGATAACAATCGCCTATTGTTATGTAGTGGCTTAATGTTTAAAAATGTGATGATAAACCCCATTTATAAACATTTAACAACTGAGAGGGTCATCGTATGGTAAAGACTCGCACAAGGAGATATTTTCCTATTTCCCGACAAACAAGACACCACGATCATTCACCCTACACCATAGGAATATACAGAACATGAGAGCATCCAGCTACAGAAACGTTCATAGGAAAAATAGCAAAAATATTCAGCCAACATTACTGACATTCGTACTCGTCTGCCTTCCATTGTTTCTACACTAGTATTGACATACAGATCATGCAACACAAGTAATTATTGTTCATCACCTGGGTAGTGGCTGTTTTCAAAAAAGAAAGCCATTAGAATTATATTGCCATAAGATATTTAATTGTACTCTTCTGGAATACATCTATCTGCAATGAAAATCTTATGAATATTCTGAGGGTCTACATATTGAGGCTAATTAATATAGAACATATCTGCATGGAAATATTTTTTCCACACCAGAGCCCAGCGGGAGAACAATGAAACTGCGTTATATGTCTCTTACATTAGCCAACCTTTGCCAAATTTCCCTAGATAACCCTGCAATTCTCCTATGGGGACAGAGTTCCTCTCGAGTAGTTTTAACTTGAGAAATTGCGTCTTACGGACTTTCTATTGCGCTTCCTCTTAAATTGCAAAAGTATATTCTACAATATTTGTCCCATTAAAGGAGAGGAAGGATGTGCCTTTGTACTAATGAAGGGTTCTCGATGAAAGGAGATTGAGCTATGTAATATACAACTGTACAGTATTTGGTGTTTGTTGGTTTAGCGTTTAATAATTAGTATAATTATTAATGTTACTGTCAAGATTGTTAACACGAGGATACGGTATCCTCGATACCTATTATTCTCTGACAGCTGAAATAATATCTAGATGCTCTGTTGTAATAACTCATGTTTTCTCTGTTTACTATTTTTATATTACTTTTTACATTTATCATTTTATAACAGTATGATAGGTTTGATTTGTTTCTTGAGTAAGTCAGTGCTTGGCATCGCCTTGCACAAACTATCTACATAACGAACAGTGGATGGGGCTTAACTTTGCCATGTGTACTCTCCCCTTCCCTCTACACACTTACTCAGAAATCTCAGCTAGTAAAATGAGCAAATGAAATACACGAGAATGAATTACATGAGTTTTAAAAAGAAAAAATCAGCTGCCAGTTAGAGCCTTTGATAAATCAAAGAAACATAGGCATGTAAACCATTTTTTTTTTTTTTTGACGACAGCTGAAGTTTACCACTACAGTAGGGTGAGATTCAAGAAAACACATTCACCATCACACACTGCCTAGCTGTCAGAAGTATGTAACGTATGTAGTGTTAGCCGTTACTGTCTCACAGCTTAGGAATGTAAAGGCCACTGATGCTGACCTCTTTCAAACCTTGGCTTGCCCGCGGGGCATAGCCCCGTCATCATGTAGCCGCCAAGCTGAAAGAACACGGATAGCATACGCTAACACACGACACGACCTATCAAGCTTCCTAATAAACACACTGCATAGCAATTGTGTATATCTCCAAACGCACCCACTACGTTCCGAACCCCATACCCACAACTTAGCTGTCTTTCAGTAAGTGCAAACATCCACACATCCGACAATCAAATGACCCTCTGAACATCAACATACATGCAATACAGATTTATGTAACTTGAAATGTGGGTAGAGTTTATAAAATGCTAATAGGCTGTCATTTTGGTAACTAATAGTCTTCTCTCCGCAGGTCTCAGGTTTCTCCAGGTCGGGTGTGGGTGCTGAACTTTACTTCCTTGACCTGGCAGGCTATAGGGAAGTCTAGTGACGAGGCCCAGACAGGCCGCGAGGCCACGGAAAGCCAAAGCACAATGGGGTTGCCTTCCCTGTCTGCAATGCCGCCTTCTCTTGGTGCTAATGACAGTAGCAACAGGGAAACTCAGACCGCTACAACTAGAGACCCTCTGGTTTTCTGCCCATGGTCTCACGGTCTGGTAGCCCTCTACATCTCCAATACCTCCACCACCATCACCTGGCTTCTATCTTATGGCAGTGACACCTGGCGAAGACTCCACAAAGACCAGGGTGTCGTCTTTACCTCAGAGGCGGCGTCTCTAGTAGCTAGCTGGTGCGGTCGAGATCGTGACGCTCTCTGGCTCCTCACCACTGTCAGGAGCCCGCCAACTGCTGTAACAGCACACGACGCCACTGACAGACAAACACTGTGGAAGCTAGACCACAGAGGAAAGTGGTCAGCTTTGCATTTGGTTCCAGGGAGGGAAGAGCAGTTTAGTGTTCGTCACAATATACGCAGCTGGAGCGATAACCGAGGAGCCCTGTTCCTTTTGCAGGAGGTGGAGAGTTCGAGCAGCTCCCTTCGCTTGGTGAAGTTCAACACAGTGACGGGAACGCGAACAATCCTGGCTTTACAAGGCGGCCATGACAGCAGCGTCTGGGTACCCAGCTCCTCAGGAGAACTTTATTCTATATTCTCTGACGGGAGAGGCTCGTGGATTGTTACCTTCAGTTACTATACTGGTGTTGTCTTAAGAAGCGAGCGCACGCGCGTGCCCCTACACACTGATAATCTCTTAGTTAAGATGAACCAGACCATATACAACAATATTCCTATGTGCGACAAAGCGATAAATAGCACCAACGCGAGGTCTGTCGCGAAAGAAATTAATTTGTATCATATATCACAGTCGCCGGAGTGCCCTCAGTCTGCCTCACAGCACACCACAACGCTACAACACTATACCCCAGCAGAAGCCACGACCTCCCATAGGGGCACCAACACTCGTCAATTCACCAATATACAGGCTACTGTTGGCGAAGGTAGTAGGAGCGGTGAAGGTGGTGACGTTTCCACCAGTTCCCTGCCTGATGGAGAGTCAGCCCACACATTCCAGACAGGACTTGAGAGCAACCTTATCTTCGTCATGGATGGTAAGGTAAGGACATCACTTGCTCTGCTCACCTTATTTACTCTGAACTATTGTTAGATTGTATTAAATTCATTTATTTAAACATACAGATCCTAGTTATAATTTCAGAGACTATATTATACTATCCGAAACTAATAATCAAAGAAGACTTGTTTAGCTTAACAACTATCGACATACTATACATTACTTACTATTACTATTATTATTAATGAAGAAACGCTGAATCCTTAGGGATCATACAGCGCGTGGAGAATGGAAGGTAATCAGGTTTGATCCAAAGAAGGAGAGGGTAGCTGTAATTCCTTGGATCAAGATCCCTTCACCAGCATAAAGCACCCTTATGAAGGGGGCATTAGGTAGAACATAAGTTGGTATATGGATAAAGATATTTGTCCATTTTGAGTCTCAACTTACTGTCTTTACAAATCTTTCGCTGTGATCTGTCACGGTGGTTGAGGCTTCGACCTATCTTGTAACCAGCCGTCAAATATCACTTAATCGCTAGCAACGTTAATGATTAAACTCAAATGTACGTACACTGATAGATTATTAGCTCTGGTAGATTTCAGGGCTGTCGATTGTCACCTTTTTATTTCGTAGATTTAAGCTTTCTCAATTAAACGAGAGTACTTTAGTCGGGAGTCCACTAACATCAAGAATAATTTAACTCCTATAAAAAAAAAATTCACTGTCTTGGCTTCGAATTTTATCGTACCTCTTCTTAAAACTATGTATGGATCCTGCCTCTATCCACTATCCAGGTTGTTCCACTTCCTGACCACTCGAAGACCGAAGAAATACTTCCAACATCCTTGTGACTCACCTGTTTTTAAATTCCAGCTGTGCCTTCGTGTGCTCCTGTTTCCCGTCTCGAACAAGCTCTCATGTCCAATTCTTATCAGTTCATCTCAGTATTTTATACATTATCATATCCCTAGTCATTATTTCCTCTAATGTCATCAAGTTTAGCTCTCTTAATCTCCCCCCAAAGCACATACCCCATACCTCTGTGACGAGTCTCGTTGCAAACCTCTGCAATGCCTTTGAACAAATTTGTGTTATCGCTAACATTATCCTAGACCTATTATTTTAAAATAAGTCACTTTAATAACCGCTTCTTCCCACAACTAACGATTAAAAGTAAATTTTAAAAGCGGCAGTATTATATACCGTTAAAGAAGCGACTTGAGTTACGGCTATTATCTGCAAACTTAACGAAGAGGCTATAATTATATGCCACTCATGAAGAAATTATCTGCTTTAATCTGCTTCCCTGAGTCATTATTCACAATATTATCCACTTGCTGTACTGACTTGACAATGGTCGTAAATTTGGCGTTGATAAGAACAATAAAGCCTCATCGTGAAAGACTGCCTTACATTAATTTATCCATTTTGAAGCAAGACTTTTTATCTGTTGTTTATTCATTATACGTAAAATGCGCTAAACCAGGAAGAATTATAGAGAAAGCAAGAAAAGTGTTACCATGTCTTGATCAGTGTTACCAATTCGTGATGATGACCCGCCACTTGAGCTTTTGATCAAGTGACCGAGGCCTTCCACTGGCTTATTGGTCTACTACCACTTTAATAATTAATAATAATATCACCAAAATGTAAAGGTGACTTACAATGTTAACGAATTATGTTGTAATGTTGTCAAGGTTATTGGAAAAATATACATGATACGTCTCATCATTTCTGACATTTTCAATTCAATTGTTTCGAGGCCACAATGTTTCTTATCAATACATATTTCTATTAATTTTTAGGAAAATTAAGAAGCGTCCAAATATAAAGTAATTCAGGGACTTACCAGTATATAATTACATATTATTATAAAGGCAAGAGAGCGCTAAACTCGTATATATCATATAGCTCACGATAATAACATAATTATTGGTGTTTTGGAATACTGAAACTGCATTATTTCGTGAATATAACATGAAAATTATAGGAATTATAATTAGAGTTTATCTCATTAGTTCTTAATGGAGGACAACAGAATCAGAGACTATTCTTGCTAAACCATA